CTGGTCAGGCTGGGAGATGACCAGCTAAAACCAGCTTGACCAGCCTAGCCAGGATGGGAGCCCAACTATAACTAGCTGTGTCCATCCTAAACCAGGCTAGTCAAGCTGGTTTTAGTTGGTTTTAGCTGGTCATTTTTCAGCCTGACCAGCTAAGACCAGCCTGGAAATGGCCAAAACCCCTCTAAAACCAGGCTGGTCAACCAGCCAACCAGCTTAGGCTGGTTTAAGCTGGATTTTTCAGCAGCGTTCTTTCATGATTTACTCTCTCTTTACTTGTTGCAAACAGCATGTTATATGTTGAAGAAACCTGCAACCACTAGTATTTGTTGTCTGTTACTATGGAAGTCAATGGTTACTCTGCAAAAAATGCTTTTAAGTTTTTTGTCTTGTCACTAGTCCAAATATCTAAAAACCTCTGAAATTAAGAAGCTTTTTCTACACAAGAACAAAATAATGTTTTGTTTTTCAGAAATAATGAGTCAAAATTAAACGAGTTTGTCTTTAAAACAAGCTAAATAATCCACAAATGGAGTAAGCTAAATAATCTTACCCTGCTTTTGTAAATTGCACAGTATTTCACTGTAATATGAGCTGTATTTTTTCCCAGGGATGGGTTGCGGCTGGAAGGGCATCCGCTGCATAAAAAACTTGCTGGATAAGTTGGCGGTTCATTCCCCTGTGGTGACCCCGGATTAATAAAGTGACTAAGCCGACAAGAAAATGAATGAATGAACTGTATTTTACTGTAGGACAGTTATGCGGTATGTTACTGTATAGTAAAAGTATAATGTATATTTTACAGTAAAGACATTCAGTACTGTAAACACACAAAGAGCAAGATAAATGGTGCTGTAAATGTAAGTACAGTGTTTGTGCTGTTATTAATTTACAGTAAGTTGCTGTAGATTATAGGAAAGTGTTAACAGTGCATTTCCTCTTTGAAATAAGTCTATTTTGCTTGTTTAAAGGAAAAACTCACTTGATTATTTCTGAAAGCAAGACTGTATTTTTTACTTGTCTAGAAAAGGCTTCTTGATTTAATAAGTTTTAGAGATCTGGAGTAGTATCAAGACCAAAACTGCAGTGTGATTGTAGATTAACAAAAGAATGAATAGAGGTGATATTTGCTGAGTGTACTGATTGAAAGTGTTGTCTTCACAGGGTGCGTGTCTGCTAATGCAAACTGCAGCTATGAGAAACTGATTGAATACCTTGGGTTAAATGATAACAATGTTAAATTGACGTCCCTGCGGCCTGTGGATAACTGGAAGAATCACGTCACGGTTTATATTGACCTGTTTGTGACCTCCATCACAGAAGTGGTAGAAACCCAGCCTGATTTACCCGAATGCCATAACTGGAGGTGTTGTTGATGTTTCTTTCTTAATTATTTCTACATTTCTTTCTCTGCAGAATGAAAAAGCCCAGAGCATCTCGACACAAGTCTTACTTGCACACGTGAGTAGTTTCAAAACTTCATTTTAAACTTGGGTGACAAGACCTGGTCTTAGCTGGTCAGGCTGGGAGATGACCAGCTAAAACCAGCTTGACCAGCCTAGCCAAGCTGGGAGTCCAGCCAAAACCAGCTATGTCCAGCTTAAACCAGGCTGGTCAAGCTGTTTTTTGCTGGTCATTTTCCAGCCAGACCAGCTAAAACCAGGCTGGAAATGGCTGGAAACCAGCCTGGACATGGCCAAAACCCCTCTAAAACCAGCCTGGTCAACCAGCTAAAACCAGCCAACCAGCCTAGGCTGGTTTAAGCTGGATTTTTCAGCAGGGTAAACAGCCCTGGGAGTAATTAAGTAGGAGTAGTAGTTAATTGAGTGCACTTCAGAATGACCCCTGTGGTTTCAGACACCATTACAAATGGCTGCTAGTTTAGGGGGGTGATTTTAGATACAACAATACATTACCTGCATCCCCACCCGTAATATGGCTTTTCTTGACAATTTCTTTAATTCATTTGCTACTATTGAATCTTGTGATGTGAGTCAGTTGGCTGCTAGTTATAAACACTTTAAAGGTGTGAATGGTCACTTCGCAGGGTTGGGGCAATGACTTCACAACATGGAAACCCGATGACTTCTGTGGGATGAGCGCCTGTTCAGTTAAAAAGGACATGGTTTGGACTCCAGACATTGTCATAGCTGAAAGGTGTGAAAAACAGTTTGTGATGCGTTTCAGTGTTTGTTATTTTGGTTAAAAACCTTGTGAGGCATTCCTTTCTATTTTGTGTTAAAGGTGCATTGTAAAACCAAAACAATATGGCAATTTAACACTGGAGTCAATAGGAATTTGCTCTGTTTTGGAGCCAGCCCCCAGTGGCCATTCAATGAATTGCAGTTTCAGTCACTTAGTTCATTTGTGCCACTGATTATCTAGATCAGGGGTGGCCAACCATGTTCCTGGAGAGCCGCCTTCCTGCCGATTTCAGTTGCTACCCATATCAAACACACCTGAACCAATTAATTAGGACCTGAACATCAGGGCTGCGTCCGAAACCGCATACTTCCATACTATAAAGTACGGCAAAATCAGTATGCGAGCCGAGTAGTATGTCCGTATACTTAGAATTCGAAAATCAGTATGCGAGAAGTACCCGGATGACTTACTACTTCCGGCGAAATTCTGGAGTGCGCATCTCATGCATGCTGCGCTATCCCATGATGCCCCGCGAGCGAATTCATGAATGTGAGTGAAGCGACGCAAATTACGCAGGTAGGTCGCGTGACCATGACAAAATGGCGGATGTAGTACGTCCGAATTCCATTCATACTTTCACATTCATACTGTATAGAACATACTTTTATAACGGCCAAGTAGTACGTTTAAATTCAAATACAGTACCTACTGAGTAGTAGGCGGTTTCGGACGCAGCCCATGTGATAATTACAGGCAGGTGTGTTTGATATGCGTAGCAACTGAAATCTGCAGGAAGGTGGCTCTCCAGGAACACGGTTGGCCACCCCTGATCTAAATTAGTTCCCATACTTTTCAGCTCACAGCCCCCCGAAAAGTAAAGACATTTAAAAAAAATCTATATAGTCTTTACACATCACCAACACATTTTCAGTGTTCATAAACTTGTTCCAAGCTTGTTCTGTGTGTTGAGCACCCATCTACTAGCCTATTTTTAACAATAATTTCATCTGTTGGTCATTTTCTACTTGCACTTATGAAATCTTATGAAATTGTGAGCTTTGGTGACACTTTACTTGAAGGGGGTTACACACATCATGAATTACATGCGTTCACAGTTATTGTATGTGAACATCTGGCTGCGCAAACACTCCACCTCCTTGTTTTATGTTTAACTTTTAATCTTTTTTCAAGCTTCACTTTTGATTTTACTGAACGCCTCACTGTCTTCAGTCCAAATGACGCTATGTTTTGTCCTTTCAGCATCAAGACAGAGATTGCAACGATGGAGAACGCGTTTGTGCGTCTGGAGAGTCGAGGTATTGTCTTCGCATCGAACACCCTGGCTGTGACCTCGGCCTGCAAGATGGACCTGCACCTGTTCCCCTTTGACACCCAAAGCTGCACCCTCACCATCATGTCTTCGGTTCATTCAAGTACATTTCATTCTCAGAAAGCAATGTAGATCAGCGTTGTGCACAACTCAAACCTAAGAAACTCAGCTCATTGTTTTTGAAGTTCTGAATTTTCTCCATTCATTTTCCCATAGCGTAAAACAGAAGTTAAGGTTTTCATTTTTTCCACTATTGTGAAGTGCATCCACTTGAAATGGCTCTGAAGTGAGAAAAAATGTGGGGCGGTGCCTGATTTCATTCTTTGGGAACCGATTGGATTGTTAAATGATGGACGTTGCTAACAAGAAAGATTGACGAATAGAGGAATTCAGAGCAGAAATGAGACACACACTGATAGCCCCACCCTAAAGTACTGATAGTCCCGCCCTAAAGGACTGATAGCCCCTCCCTAAAGTACTGATAGCCCCGCCCCTAAAGTACTGATAGCCCCGCCCTAAATGACTGTTAGTCCTACACTAAAGGGCTAATAGGCCTGCCCTAAAGTACTGATAGTCCCATCCTAAAGTACTGATAGCCCCGCCCTAAATGACTGTTAGTCCTACACTAAAGGGCTGATAGGCCTGCCCTAAAGTACTGATAGTCCCATCCTAGTGTACTGATAGCCCCGCCCTAAAGTACTGATAGCCCCGCCCTAAATGACTGTTAGTCCTACACTAAAGGGCTGCTAGGCCTGCCCTAAAGTACTGATAGCCCCGCCCTAAAGTACTGATAGCCCCGCCCTAAATGACTGTTAGTTCTACATTAAAGGGCTGATAGGTCCGCCCTAAAGTACTGATAGTCCCATCCTAAAGTACTGATAGTCCTACGCTAAAGGATTAATAGCCCTGACCTAAGGTACTGATAGCCCCGCCCTAAAGGACTGATAGTCCCATCCTAAAGGACTGATAGCCCCGCCCTAAAGTACTGATAGCCCCGCCCTAAATGACTGTTAGTCCTACACTAAAGGGCTGATAGGCCTGCCCTAAAGTACTGATAGCCCCGCCCTAAATGACTGTCAGTCCTACACTAAAGTACTGATAGCCCCGCCCTAAAGTACTGTTAGTCCCATCCTAGTGTACTGATAGCCCCGCCCTAAAGTACTGATAGCCCCGCCCTAAATGACTGTTAGTCTTACATCAAAGGGCTGATAGGTCCGCCCTAAAGTACTGATAGCCCCGCCTTAAATGACTGTTAGTCTTACATTAAAGGGCTGATAGGTCCATCCTAAAGGACTGATAGCCCCGCCCTAAAGTACTGATAGCCCCGCCCTAAATGACTGTTAGTCCTACACTAAAGGGCTGATAGGCCTGCCCTAAAGTACTGATAGCCCCGCCCTAAATGACTGTTAGTCCTACACTAAAGTACTGATAGCCCCGCCCTAAAGTACTGATAGTCCCATCCTAGTGTACTGATAGCCCCGCCCTAAAGTACTGATAGCCCCGCCCTAAATGACTGTTAGTCTTACATCAAAGGGCTGATAGGTCCGCCCTAAAGTACTGATAGCCCCGCCTTAAATGACTGTTAGTCTTACATTAAAGGGCTGATAGGTCCGCCCTCAAGTACTGATAGTCCCATCCTAAAGTACTGATAGCCCCGCCCTAAAGTACTGATAGCCCCACCCTAAATGACTGTTAGTCCTACACTAAAGGGCTGATAGGTCCGCCCTAAAGTACTGATAGTCCCATCCTAAAGTACTGATAGTCCCATCCTAAAGTACTGAAAGCCCCGCCCTAAAGTACTGATAGCCCCGCCCTGATGTACTGATGATCCCGTCCTAAAGTACTAATAGTCCTTCCTAAAGTACTGATAGTCCTACGCTAAAGGATTGATAGCCCTGCCCTAAGGTACTGATAGCCCCGCCCTAAAGGACTGATAGTCCTATCCTAAAGGACTGATAGCCCCGCCCTAAAGTACTGATAGCTCCGCCCTTAAGTACTGAAAACCTTAAAAAAATCACACTTTTATGAACTCATTCTTAACAACTCTGGATCTCTGCTTAAACTGTTCTTTATAATGTAGACAGAACACTATTTTGCTGTTTTTCAATGTAAACACGCATTCCCATCACATTTAAACACAGGAATTAATGAGTTTTTATTAGAGATAATAATAATGTGCCCCTCCAAGTAAAGTCATGCCATAGAGATAGTTTAGTTCAGTTTAGATGTTAGCACATCATTATTCATGTACTGTTATTGTAAAGTGTTACGGTTATATTGTTTTCAGGCGACCAGCTCCAAATCAGGCCATTCTCAGATGCTTCATTCCTGACTCAAAGCTCCCAGAAGGCCTTTCAGACTCAAGGAGAGTGGGAACTGATCAGTATCAACATGTCTAATAACCAGATTAACTTTATAGGAGACCTACGCGATCAGCTGATATTTCGGGTACAGTGCAGTCACATCCATCATGTTTAGAGAAATGTGTGTTATAATTCTCTTTGTAGGCAAACACTGCTGTCTGACCAAAAAAATAAATAAATAAATAAAACTAAATCTCTAAAGATACATCCATTAGGGAAATTATATCATAATATTTGGAAACGAATAATTGGTTGAATAATGAATGATTATATCATATCAGGACATAAACAATGATTTGGGGTGTCATTTATAAAACTTTACATAGAAACCTTTCTGAAAGGTGGCTCAGTGGTTAGCTCTGTCTCCTCACAGCAAGAAGGTCGCTGGTTCACGTCCTGGCTGGGCCAGTTGGCGTCCTTCTGCGTTGGTGTGGGTTTCCTCTTCGGCTTCCCCGACAGTCCGAACACATGCGCTATAGGGGAATTGGATGAACTAAATTCGTAGTGTATGTGTGTGAATGAATGTGTTTGGGTGTTTCCCAGTACTGGGTTGTGGCTGAAAGGGTATCCGCTGCATAAACAAAAACATTTGCTGGAATAGTTGGCGGTTCATTCTGCTTTGGCAACCTCTGAAATAGAGAATAAGCTGAAGGAAAATGAATGAATATAAAGTAAAAAGTAAGGGACCAAAAACTGAGCCTTGTGGTACACCACAGTGTACTTTCATGAGTTCATCCCCATCCACCAAATTGGCTCTATCGCTGTCTCTCCACACCCCCTATAGCTGGTGTGTGGTGAAACACTGGCGCCGTTGTCCTGTGGCTGCCGTCACATCAACCAAGAGGATGCTGCACACTGGTGGTGGTATGGAGGGAACAGCCCCCTCCCCTCATGATTGTGAAGGGCTTTGGGTCTATGGTCATACACAATAAATGCGCTATATAGATATATACATTACATTATCAGTGCGTGATCATTCTGAAACGTCAGTCATGTAAACACATCCATCTTACAGCTAAAGCTGAGCTCTGAACAAGACAGTGATCCCCAAAACAGCAGCAAATGTACATCACACATTTTAAGACATACACATTTTAAGAGATGCTGAGGATATATTCAGCAGGGTATCCAAACTTTTTTGCATGTCTGTACATTCATAGATTTATTATTACCTGTGATTCACTGAAATAGAAATGTGTAATCGGGAAACTGCAAACCAGGCTCATTATTAATACACACCCATGTATACATTTCTGGACAGTGCGAAATACATCCCTTGAGCTTTTTTCTTCACGTTTTTTTGTCGCCGCCAGAATCCACCAGAGGCTGCTGTGTATGCCTTTTCAGATCTCAAACGGCTCTTCTTGTGTAAATCGACCAGAGTTTGCTGTCAACTGACCGACCGATTCCCCCAACCAGCCCTTTCCCTAAACCCAACCAATAGTGTTTTCAAAAGCAATCCAGAAAAAAAAGCCCTCACGGCGGCCTGATTTTTACCCCGTTTTCAGATTTTACCCCATTCCCACCGTATTATTTACTTGTTTATTTTATTTTCAGCTTTTGTTTTTGTTTTGCCTGCTTTCTGGAACTGTTATTCACCCGACTCGAACCTCATAGTCATGGTCAACTCTGCTCTGTGTCTCAAGTTTGCCAACGTACACGGCGAGCTACTGGGCAAACAGCGGAAAAGCTGTGTACACGGAGGACAACGGTCAGCTGCTAGTGCAAAAAGTAACGGAAGCCGTCGGCGATGTCAAACCGCACCGTGGCTTTTATTTTAAAGATGAAATGCAGCCATACGTACCCCTGGTTACATAATTTGCACTCTCCAGAAATGTATATGGGGGTACGTTTTTACAATGTTGAGAAATATCCTAAGGTACTGATAGCTTCCCCCAAAGTACTGATAGCCTCTTCTTAAATGACTGATGGCTCTTTCCTAAAAGGACTGATAGCTCCGCCTCTAAGTACTGATAGCTCCGCCCTTAAGTACTGATAGGTCTGCCCTTAAGTACTGATAGCTCCGCCCCTAATTACTGATATCTCTGCACCTTAAGTACTGATAGCTCCGCCCTTAAGTACTGATAGCTCCACCCTTATGTACTGATAGCTCTGCCCTTAAGTACTGATAGCTCCGCCCCTAATTACTGATATCTCTGCACCTTAAGTACTGATAGCTCCACCCTTAAGTACTGATAGCTCCACCCTTATGTACTGATAGCTCTGCCCTTAAGTACTGATAGCTCCGCCCCTAAGTCCTGATAGTTCTGCACCTTAAGTACTGATAGCTCCGCTCTTAAGTACTGATAGCTCCGCCCTTAAGTACTGATAGCTCTGCCCTTAAGTACTGATAGCTCTGCCCTTAAGTACTGATAGCTCCGCCCCTAAGTACTGATAGCTCTGCCCTTAAGTACTGATAGCTCCGCCCTTAAGTACTGATAGCTCCGCCCTTAAGTACTGATAGCTCTGCCCTTAAGTACTGATAGCTCTGCCCTTAAGTACTGATAGCTCCGCCCCTAAGTACTGATAGCTCTGCACCTTAAGTACTGATAGCTCTGCCCTTAAGTACTGATAGCTCCGCCCTTAAGTACTGATAGCTCCGCCCTTAAGTACTGATAGCTCTGCCCTTAAGTACTGATAGCTCTGCCCTTAAGTACTGATAGCTCCGCCCCTAAGTACTGATAGCTCTGCACCTTAAGTACTGATAGCTCTGCCCTTAAGTACTGATAGCTCCGCCCGTAAGTACTGATAGCTCTGCACCTGAAGTACTGATAGCTCTGCACCTGAAGTACTGATAGTTCCACCCCTAAGTACTGATAGTACTGGTTACATAATTTGCGCTCTCCAGAAATATATACAGGGGTACGTTTTTACAGTGTTGACAAACTGAGATACCTTATAAACCTGGAGACTTTCCTGTTCTCGTCTGCAGATCACGATCAAGAGGAAGCCTGTTCTGTACGTCATTGACTTCATAATGCCGGTGTTCTGCTTCCTTATTCTGGATTTGGCCTCCTTCTTCGTCAGTTCAGGTGTAAAAGAGAAGCTGGGATTTAAAGTGACCTTGCTCCTGGCTATTTCTGTGTTACTGCTGCTACTTAAAGACATGCTGCCCTCTACTGCCAGCGACGTCCCGCTGATCGGTGAGTTCATTCGATGAGTTTTCGAACTCCAGAAACACATTACTGAAGTAGTATAGAACCAAGCAGATGTGGACACAAGAAGAACGAGTCACCTTTAATGACGTTGTTTAGCATGTCACCTAAAGCAATATTGATCTAAGCAAAATGCAAGCAGGCTTCTCTAGCTCCGCCCATGCCCCGCCTCTTTGCCAATTTTCGGTTACCTGGGAGTGATGTGTGGTTGGCTGAAGTGACAAGAGACCTGTCACTCAAGTGGCCACGCCCTTAATTATGCAGAATTTTAAGGCTTACTGTAAATAAATCAGATGAGTTATAATTGTGTTGTTCAAGCTACTTGGAAAATGTAGTGGGTGTAGCATAACTACACTAAAAGTTACACCCTGGGAAATGTAGCGAGCTAAGCTAAAAGCTACTTGGCAGAAGTAGCTTAGCTACATTCACTCATTCATTCATTTTCTTTTCAGCTTAGTGCTTTTATTAATCCAGGGTCGCCACAGCGGAATGAACCGCCAACTAATCCAGCACGTTTTTACGCAGCGGATGCCCTTCCAGTTGCAACCCATCTCTAGGAATAAATCAGTATTATTCTTTTACAATTAATTATTAAAACAAATTAATTTTGTTCACTGAAAAAAAGGGATCAGAAAACATGCCAATTATGTTTATGACAGATTTATGACAAGTTATGCTGTTTTGGTTGTCAAGACATCTCCGACAATGTTATCTTTGCATTTAAAATGACATAACTGAGCGATTGACACCTGATGACTGCTGTCATAGTCATGCATACAAGTCTTGTGAACACCCCTTTTAGCTGTTAACTTGTTTAAGCTGTTAACAGTGTGTTATCTTTGTGCTGTTTTTATAGGGATGTACTGTGTTATCATCTTCACTCTGATTGGCATCAGTGTTCTGGAGACCATTTTCTTGAGTTTTCTGATGGATAGAGGAAAAGAAAGCGCTTCAGTCGCACCGATGCACAGAAAATCTGCTCTTTCTGGTAAATAATATGGAAAAACGTGGAGCTGTTAGCATTAGCATGTTGGAAAAATATTCAGGATAAATTAATTGATGTAAAACTATTTAAAGTGTGTTACTGTATACATTATGGTAAGTAGAAAAAGTTCCAGCATGTTTTAGCTAGTTATTATATTGTTAGCATTAGCATGTTGACAAAAAATGTATTAGTGAAAACGTTACGGTAAGCAGTAAAAATGCTAGCATGTTTTAGCAAGTTATTATATCATTAGCATTAGCATGCTGTCAACAAATTCTACATTCATAAAATGATGCAAAACAATTCAGAATGTGTCAGTGAAAACATAATGGTTTGAGTATTGTTGATTGTGTTAGCATAATGCTAGTAAAATGTTAATTCAGTTAGCATAATGCTAATTGAATAATCCATGTATGAAAACCATCAGTGTTCCTTACAAGTAGACAGGGAATATCTGTTTTCAGAGCTCTTCTTAAAAGATCGGTAGTTAAAATGCTAGCATGTTTTTAGCAAGGTATTACATTGTTAGCATTAGCATGTTGCAAATTTTTCAACATTAATAAAACATTGTAAAATGCTTTAAAATATTTTAATGAATACATTATAGTAAGTAGTAAAAATGATAGCATGTTTTTAGCAAGTCATTATATTGTTTGCGTTAGCATGTTGACAAAAGATTTTACATTAATAAATTGATTAAAAAACTGTTCGAAATGTGTTAGTAAAAACAAAAGTAGCAAAAATGCAAGCATGTTTTAGCAAGTTATTATATGATTAGCATTAGCATGTTGACAAAATCTACATGAATAAAATGATGTAAACCAATTCAAAATGTGTTGGTAAAAACATTATGGTAAGTAGTAAAAATGCTAGCATGTTTTAGCAAGTTATATTATTAGCATTAACATTTTGACAAAAAAAGCTATAATAAATTGATTAAAAACTATTTGAAATGTGTGAGTGAAAACATTATGGTAGATAGTAAAAACACTTAGCATGTTTCAAAAAGTTATTACATTGTTAGCATTAGCATGTTCACAAAAAATTCAAAATGTATTAGTAAAAACGTTAAGGTGAGCAGTAAAAATGCTAGCATGTTTTAGCAAGTTGTTATATCATTAGCATTAGCATGTTGACAACAAATTCTACATTCATAAAATGATGCAAAACAATTCAAAATGTGTCAGTGAAAACATTATGGTTTGAGTATTGAGTATTGTTGATTGTGTTAGCATAATGCTAGTTCAATGTTAATTCAGTTAGCATAATGCTAATTGAGTAATCCATGTATGAACAATGTAAAACACTTTAAAATGTGTTAGTGAAAACATTATGGTAATTAGTAAAAATGCTAGCATGTTTTAGCAAGTTATATTGTTTACATTAGTATGTTGACAAAAGATTTTACATTAATAAATTGATTAAAAAACTGAAATTTGTTAGTGAAAACATAAGTAGCAAAAATGCTAGCATGTTTTTAGCAATTTATAGTATTAGCATTAGCATGTTGATAAAGTCTGATGCTGCAAAACAATTCAAATTTATTTAGTGAAAATATAGTAAATAGTAAAAATTTTAGCATGTTTTTTGCAATTCATTATATCATTAGCATTAGCATGTTGACATTTTACATTCATAAAATAATGCAAAACAATGCAAAATGTGTTAATAAAAACATCATGGTTTGAGTATTAAGTTATGTTGATTGTGTTAGTATAATGCACGTACAATTCTAATCCTGTTAGCATCGTGCTAATTGAGTAATCCATGTGTAAAGACCATCAGAATTTCCTGAAAGCAGACAGGGAATATCAGGCATGTTTTTAATATTTGATTATAATGCTAGCATTAACATGTTGTCAACATCCAACATTAATAAAATGATGGTGAACATTATAGTAATTAGTAAAAATGCTAGCATGTTTTTAGCAAGTTATTACAGTGTTAGCATTAGCATGTTAAAAAATTTTCAACATTAATTAAACATTGTAAAACACTTTAAAATGTGTAAGTGAAAACATTAGTTAGTAAAAATGCTAGCATGTTTTTAGCAAGTTATATTGTTAGCATTAGTATGTTGACAAAAGATTTTACATTAATAAATTGATTAAAAACAGTTTGAAATGTGTTAGTAAAAACATTCCAAACTGCAAAAATGCTAGCGTGATTTTAGCAAGTTATTATATTGTTAGCATTAGCATGTTGCAAATTTTTAACATTAATAAAACATTGTAAAACACTTTAAAGTGTGTAAGTGAAAACATTATGGTAATTAGTAAAAACGTTAGCATGTTTTAAGCAAGTTATTTTAGCATTAGCACTAGCTTATTCGCAAACATTTTACATTCATAAAATCATGCAAAACAATTCAGAATGCATTAGTGAAAACATTATGGCATTGAACATTAAGCAATGTGGATTATGTTAGCATAATAGTAATACAATGGTAATCCAGTTAGCATTATGCTAATTGAGGAACATCTGTTCATAGAGCCCTTTAGAAAAATATGTTGTATGTGTATTTGCGTGCAGACGCCGTGAAGAGCACAGAAGGCCCTGCAGACTCAGTTTCAGACAGGAATGAAGCGCCGCTCACCGCTGATGCTCTCAGGCAGATCATCATGGAGTTTCAGGTCCAGAATCAGCAGCAGAAGAAGAAGAGCCTGAGCTGGACCAGAGTGGCTAAAATCATTGATCTTGTTTTTTTTCTCATGTATGCAACCACTGTCCTTCTGTTTCTGATAGTGCTGTCCATCGCTTGGTTCCCATGAGGAAACATATACAACTACACACATGATCAGGAGATGGTCAAACTTATATTCGCTGCAAATCCTGCTATTCTTACTTAGAGCTTTTGTCTTGTTTCCAGTCCAAATATTTAGAAATTCCTAATCAAGTAGCCTTTTCTAGACAAGCAAAAAATATTGTGTTGTTTTAAGACAGAATGTGTCACATTTTGACAAGAACTTTTGCTGGTTTTAAGGAAAAAACTCACTTAATTGTGACATATTATTACTGAAAACGAGGAAAAGGGGCTCTATTTTAACGATCTAGTCACAATGTCTAAAACGCGTGACGCAATAACGTGCATTAAACCAATTAGAGTCTCGTCTCTCATTCCCTTTAAAAGTGTTGTGTCGCTCCATGGTGCATTTGCTATTTACATGGCGGCCTTTGTATATGTAAAAACTGAACCCTTCACTTGCGAGAAACAGCATCTGCAGCGCGAGGATAAAGAACGAGCCTCCTCCATTCAGCCTCTTTACTCCTTTACTTTACTCCTTTACTTTGGTGGAGTGAGGAAACGGTGGAAACTCACTCCACTGAACACATCCATTAGCCCACATGTTTCATTTAGTTTGTTAAGCACAAAGATTTGAGTCGAAACTATTTCTGAATTCAGTTCTAATCTCCAGCAAAGGAATAAATGAACAATAATAATCAAGTGTGGTCAGAAAACTGAGTTACATCCGAACACAAGTCCTGTTCTTATCCACATATGGTGATGCAGACAACTCCAAAACCCCACAGGTAGACCAATCTAGACGTGTGCTTATTAAAACAAACATAAATCTGCATATAATCAATAATACTGCTAATAATAATCACATTATACAGATGCAGATCATCATTAATAAACTGAAAAAGCTCCCCGAGGTGAAGAAGGCATGGAGGCAGTGCTGTTTATATTGATGTTGAAAATCATCATTTCTGGATCATTTTAATCCTTTAATTGTGTTCATCTGTAAAGATATTTGTGTGTTGCTGTACATCCTGTGTGTATTAAGCAATGTGTAACCGTACGTTCACACCAAAAGCGGCGAGAGCGTCAAAGTAGCCGGAAGTCATTAATTTGCTATGAGAGCCGGCGGCGATAAGCGGCGAGGAGCAGCGCGGCGCGTCTTCTCTGGCGTGGGCGTCGAGGAGAGTTGAAATCAAGTCAACTTTATGGTAATGAGCTATGACACGGTTTGGCGGCAAGCAATCAGAATGAAGACATCCACCGCTTGATAGGAGTTCAGAGAACACAGACCTGTGAACTTTGGTTCCGACCACAGTTGTTCCCAAGGGTAAGATGATTGCGGTCACCGGATTTACAATGTTTTCTTACAGGAACATGCATTAAATAAGTTACTGGCGAGTTACTGATGTTCATTAAATTTATCTAAAAAAAGCAGGAAACTCACGCGACGTGACAGTACAAAACAGAATAACATCCTCGGAGGTACGTATTTTTGCATTTTTTTTTTCGAGAATCCGCAAGAGGTCATTGTGTGCGCTTTTTCGCATCTCAAACGTCTCTCGCGAGTGCCGTTCGCACCTGAGCTGTTCTCACGTGAACCCACCAGAGGCCGCTGTCCGACTGGCTGAATGATTGACTGTGCAATCGGCCAATAGACTGACACCACCCTCCTCCTTCCCTGAACCCAACCAATTTTACCGATTGACCTGCCCCCCGCTCACTTCCCTAAACCCAACCAACGATTTACAAAAGCCCTCCAGAAAAAGAAAAGCCCTCGTCTGATTTTTTACCACGTTTTCGGATTTCACCGCGTTATGAACTCGTTCACTTTATTTTTTGGATTCTGTTTTTGTCTTACCTGATATCTGGAACCGCTCTTCCCCAGACTCGAACCCGGTCGGCGCGGTCAACTCCTCCTCTCTGCATCTGAAGTCCGCCGACGAACAAGACGAGCTGACTGGACAAACTGGTTGCGGCGGGAAAGCCCTCCACACGGAGGTTAGTGGTCAGCCAGCGAGAGCGAAAGGGAACGGCGATATACGACCCCGTAGCGTTCGCTTAAAAAAATTAAACGCAGCCATACATACCTCCCGGGACGTATTTAGCGGTCTCCAGAAAAGTTCACGGGACTACATTTTCAGAATGAGCCTGGGTTGACTTTATAGCAGCTTTTAGCTGCAGTCTATTTCAGTCCCTCAAAATACGCTCCAACAATGCGCCTTAACACACCTCCTTTATAGACCAGCACACCCATGAGTCCACAAAGTGGTGTAAATGTAGTTGCTATTTAAACAACGTGGCGCAAAACGTGAAAATTACAGTTGCGCTGGTCTGAAAATAGCAACAAATCACACCAAACACGTCTTGCACTGTGATTATGATAGGGCCCTAGAAAAAAAGCATCTTGATTTAAGAGTTGTCACATATTTGGACTAGAAACAAGACAATGTACACAAGAATTATTATTATAATTATTTTGCAATGTATAGATTATGTGTGCGAGTTATCAACAAATGTTAAAACAATAATGATTGAGCAGTTCTGGTGTTTCATTTCTGGTTCATGAAGATTTTATTGTAAAAGATAGTGAAATGTAATTTATTGAGGGGGAAAAAAGAAAGAAACAAGCATGTGGATCACTTAAAGGAACACTTTTTTTTGTAAATAAGCTCATTTAAATAATTTAGTGTAATCTATAGTCCACTCCTGTACCATCCGCATACAGTGATCGCTGTGCTGCTCTAGAAGTAACCATGCTAGCAGAGCGCAAATGCAGAGGAGATCATGCAGTCCATTAACCAGTCTCTTTAAAAAGGACAGCTCCGTATTATTACAACAATGCTGTGTTGAGCAACATTGACCTGTCTTGACTATCCTGTAGTGATGGGTCGTTCATGAACGATTCGTTCACTTTAAATGAATCTTTAATATGATTTGGGAACTACGAGTCCTCTCAGGGAGTGATTCGTTCATCCGCACTTTTTTGTGCAGGTGGTGTCGTTCATTTCAAGTCTTTTGAGTCGTTCATTGCGGAAAGGCAGAAGCCAATCATATGCGTTTAGAGCCGAAAAAAGAATTGAATTGAAAGGTGAACTGATTATCATGGCTCCTATTGGCTCAGACTGTATACTTTGGTTAAGATTATATGTGACTGTCAGTGTAACGTGAACGTACCACTGACATTTGAAGACATGAGGAGGTGAGCTGAGCAAGGAGACAACTATACCTTCACAGACAAAACAGCAGGTAAACATTATTTTCTCCTTATAGTCTTCTATTTTTGACTTATTTGTCGTGCGATCAACAGTTTGGGCTAGTTGTAAATGTGTTTGGAAGCAATTCGTAACATTTTAATAATATTTTGGCAAATTGAACTAAATGAACAAAATGACTCGAAAAAAGATTTGTTCATCTCGATGAACAAGACTCAAAGATCCGAGTCAGTATAATGATTCGAACTTCCCATCACTACTATCCTGGCCGTCCATTTTGAAAAGACTGGTTAATCACGGCTGGTCCCGCTCTGATTGTAAGGCAAAGCGTGATTGGTTGAGAATGAGTGCTCAGCACCACATTGCTGGTATCTGATTGGTTTAAGTAGAAGGTGGGTGGAGTCCATCAATTTGTGGATTAGTGTTTGTCTTGACGTTAGAAGTGTTTTAAAGTCATGTTATGGGAAATTCAAATTTATTTAAGGGCCGCCTTGTACTGTACCGTACCGAACTGTACCGCTCAATGGAAACAAGACATTAGAAATAACGTAAACGTTTGTGTACTGCAGAACTTGACACAAAGTAGGGCTGAACGGAAAAAATTGTAAAATAAACAGAAGTTTAAACTACTTTCAATGGATTTTACAGGATTAATAAATACGACAACGACAAGAGTTCTTCTTATTATAATTTTCCTGGTAATAAAACGTAGCCCAGAATGCTATTATGAAATATGTTGGATGCTTTATTGTGTGAGAAGACTTAAAGAAGGACTTATTAACATTTGACTGAAGCTATGAAGTGAGTAAAAACGTCATTATATGTGTTATTATTATTCTGGAGATTCACAGCTGATCACAGAGTAGACAAATCTGCATGACAATCTCATGTTCAAATTCATTAATCCCTACCGCAAAGTCTTCTCTTAAAGGAAAGTGTCTTTCAATGCTCCGGGCTGATCCAGAACTGCTTTCCTGCGACTCGACGCCTCCAGGATCTTCTTCCGTGGGCCCAGCTGAATGCGTATCCCTTTCAGATCCTCATCAGTGCACAGCATCAAAGCTTCCAGGTCCAAGTGTTCGCGGGTGAACACCGGCCCGAAGTCCATCAGCCCGATCGATGCCAAAAACGAATCCAAATGAGAGGTCTCCTCCTCCTCCTCATTCAAACCAATCTCCTCTTCATTCCAGGGCAGCTCTGCATCTTCATCCAAACCTTCCAATCCTTCATCCACGGTTTCAAACAACTCCTGACGGATTAAATACCCTAGGTCTTCTGTATTACCGATTGGGAGGTCTTCAGGATCCATAGCCATTTCCATTGAGAAATTGCGCCGAAAGACCATTTTCCCAAGACCTGGTCTTTCAAAAATAGACTTCCCCTTCCCCGCTCCTTCCTCATCCGAATTTCTATCACCATCATCATCATCCTGAAGTTCATCCTGCTCATTGAAGACGTCAACGAATTCGGGTTTTTCTTGCGAGCCACTATCCTGCTTGACGAAAATCACATTGCCGTCGCCTTGTTTGCTCACCGTGCCTTTGTCCTTCTTGCCAAATTTGCGCTGGAGGGTTCCTTTGATTGTAGATGTAATAGATCCGTTGGTGTCTGCAGCAATGAGTTTGGAGAATTGTTCACTGTTTTCACTGCTCAGAGTCCCGGTGCCGGAAAACGAACTTCCCTCGGAGACGGATCCGCCACGGTACATTTTATCCATCTTACTCTGATGCTTCTTCTTGACCCGTTCGCATTGCTTCACTCGCCGTTCTGCATCTTTGGTGGCCTGCTCCTTTAGACGGGCCACTCTTTTGGCGTTCTGGCCCGTCTGCTGGGCCGCAGAGTTGTCCAGAAAGCGAACGCAGTCCATGTGGTCTCGAGAGGCCGCCACGTCCATGGGCGTGTGGAAATCATTGTCCAGAGCGAAGAGATTGGCTCCGAAGTTCACCAAGAAGCTGAGGATCTGCATGTGTCCGTTTGCTGCGGCGTGATGCAGAGGCGTGTTGCCCCAGATGTCACTTTTGTTTGGATCCCCCCTACAAGACATAAATAACAATGAACATCAGTTTAGTTAAGCGTTTCTCAATCCTAGTCCCAGTTGTCCCACTGTACACTCTCAGAAGTAAAGGGACAAAATCTATCACTGGGGTGGTACCTGAGGTGTTGCTAGACCCTACTTAAAATGCCAGTGCCCCATAAATGCTTTGAGTTACAGCTTACTTTACATGCAGGTGTATCTTAGAAGACCTTAGCATATCACTCCAGTTGTGTCTTTACACTGGATTGATCTCTGTTATTTATTTAGAATAACAATTGCATAATAATTATACTATTATTCATACATTCATTCATTCCATTTCATCCGCTTTTCCAGGAACGGGTTGCAGGGGAGAACCCCTGACCTCCCACCCCCCAGACATTTCCTCCAGCTCCTCTGTGGGGATCCCGAGGTGTTCCCAGGCCAGCCAAGAGATTTAGTTCCTCCAGAGTGTCCTGGGTCTTCCTTCAGGCCTCCTCCCGGTGGAACATGCCTGGCACACCTCCCTAGGTAGGCGTCCAGGAGGCATCCGAAACAAATGCCTTAGCCACCTCAGCTGACTTCTCTCGATGTGGAGGAGCAGCGGCTCTACTCCGAGCTTCTCTTAGTTGACAGAGCTCCTCACCCTATCCATAAGAGTGCGCCCTGCCACCCTGCAAAGGAAACTCATTGCGGCTGCTTGTATCCAAGATCTTGTCCTTTCTGTAGTGAACCAAAGCTCGTGAGCATAGCAATGTAGATTGACCAGTTAATCGAGAGCTTTGCCTTTCGACTCAGCTCCTTCTTTACCACAACAGACCGGTACATCGACCGCATTACTGCTGCCACTGCATCGATTTGCCTGTCAATCTCACGCCCTATCCTTCCCTCACTCGTGATCAAAACCCCCAGATACTTAAACTCTTCCACCTGGGGTAAGGACTTTCCTCCAACCTGGAGATGGCAAACCACCTTTTTTCAGGTGGAGCACCATGTAATAATACTAATACTTAATATTATCCTGTACAGCTCTTTATATAAAGGTAAACAATATTTGGGGGTGGGTGGTTAAAAGGGGCATGTCCCATAGTAAAGCTTGTTGGAAAATAGGATTTTTTTAATTTTATTATTTTTGTCTCTTTTTCTTTCAATCAAACAATTATTGTATTGGTCATGTAAGGGTCATATATTAACTGAACTTCTACTGTTGTGTGTGAGTGCTGTGCATACTAATTAGCATTTTTGCAGAAGTAGATAGATGCGGGTCCAAAATTAAATTCAGCTCTGCAGAAGCTTCCTTTCTGAAGAGAGGTGTTAAAACTGAACACAGAGCACAGAAAGTTGTATGCTTTTTTTGTTGTGCAGAAAATTCGTAGAAAAAGAGGAAGTATGTCTAGGGTGCAGCCAATGGAGGACTGAACAATGACTGACAAATGACGAATTTCATCAAACTCCACCTGTTAATATCAGCTGCCTATATAAGTTGAAGAAGTCGGGAAAAGAAGGTGGTTGCGCACCTCCTTAATGTAACTTTTGCATTGCATTGAGGATAGCAGAATTCTGTGAATCGAATTATTCATTTGTATCCAATAAATTGTTACGATTTTTGACATTGAAGAAAAACCTCTCCTGACCTTTTTTCCTGAACATGCATGGAATCGATTGAGTATTCCAACAAGCTTTATGTCTAGCAACACCCCTGGGTGGCACCTTTTCAAATGATATATTTTTGTTCCTAACAGGTCCTTAAAGGTACATATTAATAGCTATACCTATTCCTTGTACCTCATAGTACCTTAAAGGTACACAAGTGAACCTTAAAAGTACAAAACTGTACCCTAAAGCTACTAATGTCCACCTGTGTACTACAAAAGTGTATCTTTTGAAAAGGTAGAGTAAAAATAAAAGCACAAGTAAAATAATCAAAGTGAAAACTAGATGACTTCACTTTTCCCATTGGCAGATTCTTTTGCATACTTAATTTTGAATTACTAAAATCACACAGTTTGAGCAGGGCTTCAGTCAATCTTATTAATCTGAGAGGGGTCTGGATGCAGACCTGGTGCTGTGCAATCTGAGCTGCATCCAATGCTTTTTAATACGCTCACCTAACTCTACCCGTCACCTCACTCCATCGAGTGCATTGTGTCTGACATTGCATCGCTGAGTGATGCAATCTCAGCTTGCATCATAAAGGCTGCGTCCAGATACTATTGACCAGTTTTGGGTTTAAATCAGTGTGGCAAAATGTCTGCCATAGTTAGCATTGATATGATGTTGTTTACAGCTGGTCATGAAGGATCATGTGCTGATTATCCAAAGGGCAGCACATTTCTGCCACAGGCACTGAGATTCCGTTCAGTGAAAAAAGACAGGGCGGAGCTTTAAAGAGACAGGATGCGTCATAGACATTAAAGATGACCTATATTGCCCCTTTTTACAAGATTTAAAATGCGTCTCTGTCATCTCTAGAGTGTGCAGTGGAGTTTCAGCTCAAAATAGCACACAGATAATGTTTTTAACTCTCTGAAACTGACCCTTTTAGACTTTTGATACTAATTGTGGCGTTTTGGTGGCTGTCACTTTAAATTCAAATGAGACTGTGCTCTTTTTCAGAAGAAGGCGGAGCTAAATGCCTGTGTGTCAGCATAGTGGCAGATTTAAAAACAAGACTAACGTCCTATGCTAATGAGGGAGAGATGGCCACTAGTGGGCGGGGCTTTCCCCCTCTGATGACATCATACATCAGGAGAATGTCAGTCACAGTGTTTCTGCAGACTGCTTTTATCGAGTCTGATTATAAACAAATAAAATTAATTAATGCTTATCATTAGGAGCTGGTTATATTCACACACCGCCAACATACAACTGTGTGTAAACCCCTTATAAAAGTGATTTTTGCATAATAGCTGCCCTTTAAAAATGTTTATGAGCATAGTATGGCCACTTTAAGTCAAAATAAATCAAGTAATGCCTAAAGTAGCTACAAACTTTGACCAAAAAGCAAGCAGCGATTAAAATTCCACCCTCACACTATTGCACATTTCCCCATAATCCATATGACGGTTGAGATTATAACCAAGCAATGGTTTAATATGTAACCTGCAGTAAACTGAAAGTCCACAGGTGCATCCATAAAACCTTTGATTACAATTTCTTATCGCTCTAAAAGCATCTGTTCATTGGTTGGATGGATGAGGCAAATAAAACAAGCGAGACGAACAACCTTTTAGACTACATCTGAGTAACACTTAAAGGGTTTGTTCACTTGTTAAAAGCTTGTTTGATTCTCTGGTAACACTTTAGTTTAAGTAACAGTGCACAACATTGGATTATTACCTGCTTATTATTAAGACATCAACTGTTGTAGCACTTATAAAGTATGATCTTATTTTACATCCTTAAGGCCTACCCAACACCCAAACCTAAACCCAACTGAGCCCCTAATAACTATTAATAAGCAGATAATTAATAGTTTATTGTGCTAAAAGTCTACGGTAATGGTTTATTAATAGTGTGAATTGTAAATTAAAGTGACTGACTTCTGTTTAATACAAAAGTAGATAGTTTGATAAATGTTGAATGCATATGCAAATGTATCTTTATCTCCTGCTTCTCTTTTTTAAAAATTTTCAAACAACAAGAAATAAACATTGTCATCATTTTAGGAAGAGTAAATAGTGAGTAAATCCTTATTTATTTGGGTGAACTGCCCCTTTAAGGATGCTTCTGGACAGTTTTCCAGCCAACAGTAATCATTGTGAGTGAAATCGGCCTCAATGGTGTGGAGAATAAATAAACTCTACCCCAAACTAACTCTGGATAAACTCTGTCAAAATGAAAAGGCCTATTGTTACACATTTGCATAAGCAATGTTGGCTGATTAAACTCTTGGCATCGGCTTACGAAACTTACAAGCAATGTTCATAGCAAATCATGCGAGAAGAAAAAAGTACACAGAGAGAAGATCTGACTGTGCTAAATAAATAACATCCTATAAATAAAGCTTCATGATGATCAAAATTTCAGGGCAGAGCTTCAGCAACATTTTAGACCTTTATGTGCTTTGCTGTAACATGAGTGATGATTGATTTTGCCATATAAGCACAAGTAAATACATTGTAAAGGGAAAGTTCACACAAAACGTGTTCCAAACATGTTCATGTTGAACAAAAATAAAGATATAATGAAGTATGTCAGCCATTGACATCCATAGAATGTTTTCTTCCTACTGTGAATGTGAAATTCTGGTTATTATTCAGTATATTATCTTGTTTTGTGTTCATCAGAAGAAAGAAACGGAGTAAATTGTGAGCAAAGGTTCATTTCTGAGTGAACATTCCCTTTAATTATGGTTAAAAAGTGTCTTTAAAGTGTCATTTTTAAATTGCATTGACATTATATTGTCTTTCATGGCATGCTATTAAGTGTCACTTTTAATTGCAATATTCACTACAAGTGCACATTCAACTGCACATTCAGTTTGCTTAAGCAAATTAGTTTTTTTTTTACTCTAACGACCACACTATTGTAAAGTGCTTGCGTATAAAGTCATTACGGTTTGTGTAAAGTAAAAAAGGAATTGTTATGTAACATGAATATCAATGGATTTTAGCGATTTGTAAGACGCACAAAGCAAGGTAAACCATTATACATTTTTCCCTAAACAATTTAACCTAAAATGTAATGTGCAGATTCAATTAAACCCCTGATTGTTGATGCATTAAAAGTTCAAACAGTTATTTAGAGCGTGTTTTTGAACCTATAGAATTAATCTGCTGTGGTAATTCTACAGTTGCTACGGTACACAACAACTAAACTAATATAAACAAATTACTCAATACTGTAGTTTTCTACAGTTGCTACGGTACACAACAACTAAACTAATATAAACAAATTACTCAATACTGTAGTTTTCTACAGTTGCTATGGTAACACACGAACTACAGTAATATAAACAAATCACTCAATACTGTAGTTTTCTACAGTTGCTATGGTAACACACACGAACTACAGTAATATAAACAAATTACTCAATACTGTAGTTTTCTACAGTTGCTATGGTAACACACGAACTACAGTAATATAAACAAATCGCTCAATATTGTAGTTTTCTACAGTTGCTATGGTAACACACGAACTACAGTAATATAAACAAATCACTCAATACTGTAGTTTTCTACAGTTGCTATGGTAACACACGAACTACAGTAATATAAACAAATCACTCAATACTGTAGTTTTCTACAGTTGCTATGGTAACACACGAACTACAGTAATATAAACAAATCACTCAATACTGTAGTTTTCTACAGTTGCTATGGTAACACACACAAACTACAGTAATATAAACAAATCACTCAATACTGTAGTTTTCTACAGTTGCTATGGTAACACACACGAACTACAGTAATATAAACAAATCACTCAATACTGTAGTTTTCTACAGTTGCTATGGTAACACACACGAACTACAGTAATATAAACAAATCACTCAATACTGTAGTTTTCTACAGTTGCTATGGTAACACACACAAACTACAGTAATATAAACAAATCACCCAATACTGTAGTTTTCTACAGTTGCTATGGTAACACACACGAACTACAGTAATATAAACAAATCACTCAATACTGTAGTTTTCTACAGTTGCTATGGTAACATGCACGAACTACAGTAATATAAACAAATCACTCAATACTGTAGTTTTCTACAATTGCTATGGTAACACACACAAACTACAGTAATATAAACAAATCACTCAATACTGTAGTTTTCTACAGTTGCTATGGTAACACACACGAACTACAGTAATATAAACAAATCACTCAATACTGTAGTTTTCTACAGTTGCTATGGTAACACACGAACTACAGTAATATAAACAAATCACTCAATACTGTAGTTTTCTACAGTTGCTATGGTAACACGCACGAACTACAGTAATATAAACAAATCACTCAATATTGTAGTTTTCTACAGTTGCTATGGTAACACACACGAACTACAGTAATATAAACAAATCACTCAATACTGTAGTTTTCTACAGTTGCTATGGTAACACACACGAACTACAGTAATATAAACAAATCACTCAATACTGTAGTTTTCTACAGTTGCTATGGTAACACACACGAACTACAGTAATATAAACAAATCACTCAATACTGTAGTTTTCTACAGTTGCTATGGTAACACACACGAACTACAGTAATATAAACAAATCACTCAATATTGTAGTTTTCTACAGTTGCTATGGTAACACACACGAACTACAGTAATATAAACAAATCACTCAATACTGTAGTTTTCTACAGTTGCTATGGTAACACACACGAACTACAGTAATATAAACAAATCACTCAATACTGTAGTTTTCTACAGTTGCTATGGTAACACACACGAACTACAGTAATATAAACAAATCACTCAATACTGTAGTTTTCTACAGTTGCTATGGTAACACACACAAACTACAGTAATATAAACAAATCACCCAATACTGTAGTTTTCTACAGTTGCTATGGTAACACACACAAACTACAGTAATATAAACAAATCACTCAATACTGTAGTTTTCTACAGTTGCTATGGTAACATGCACGAACTACAGTAATATAAACAAATCACTCAATACTGTAGTTTTCTACAATTGCTATGGTAACACACACGAACTACAGTAATATAAACAAATCACTCAATACTGTAGTTTTCTACAGTTGCTATGGTAACACACACGAACTACAGTAATATAAACAAATCACTCAATACTGTAGTTTTCTACAGTTGCTATGGTAACACACGAACTACAGTAATATAAACAAATCACTCAATACTGTAGTTTTCTACAGTTGCTATGGTAACACACACGAACTACAGTAATATAAACAAATCACTCAATACTGTAGTTTTCTACAGTTGCTATGGTAACACACACAAACTACAGTAATATAAACAAATCACTCAATATTGTAGTTTTCTAAGTTGCTACGGTAACACAAGAACTATACTAATATATTCAAATCACTCAATATTGTAGTTTTCTACAACTACAGGGTGTATTCTACTACACTGTAAAAACAAAAACTGTAATTTTACGATTTATTTCCTGCAGCTAGGCTGCCGGAAAAAAAAACGTAAAATAACAACTGTGTAATTACAGAAATTTACCGTTAAATAATGGAAGTTAAATTACTGAAATTTCTGTAAAATTTAAATTTCTGGTAATTTTTTGTAATTCAACCTCTGTCATTTTACTGTAACTTTCTGTAATTTAACGGCCATTATTTTAAATTTTTTTCCCCGGCACCCCAGCTGCCGGAAATAAACCATAAAATTATGGATTTTTATTACAGTGTACAATACACCACAGCTTACTGTAGTAAAAACTGAAGTCTCCTACAGTATTTATTAGTTTATCAGTTCCATAGAGTTAATGCTGATGCATATTGTAAACACTATAATATAAACAGTAAAATGTAATGCAATGTTTCCATATTTTGTGATTCGCAAGGGTTTTTCATTTATTTACAGTGGTGAATTGCATGTTGACCTCTGCTCTGTCGACTTTTAATGTTGGAAATTCAACTATATAGTTTAATAAATTAACATTTTAGTAGACTGAAATAATGTATAAGAAATAATATATGAGAAATAAGTGTGTACAATAACAGAAAATGGATTTGTATCATTATTTACAACACCAACCCAGACAATACATCACTTTTAACTATTAAAAATGTTTCTTAAAAGTCACTTTTTCATACTTCTGAAGGATAAACGTTGTCATAAGAAAGATCAAGGTCTCATAATGCAATTCAAAAGCATAAGGAAACAGAGAAAAGCTAAAACATGAATCACAAAAATATGGAAAACTACACTGTGATATATTATGGTTTCAGAACACTATTTAAATGACTACAGTATTTGTGTGAGCTCACCCTCTGCTACAGACGAGCTGGAGGGCTTCGATGTGTCCATGATAGGCCGCCCAGAGAGTGGGTGTCATGCCGTCCTCATCCGGGGTGTTCAGGTCTTTTCTGGTGGCCTCTTTCAAAAGATCCAAATAGCCGTCAATGGCTGCTTTGTGGTACCGTGACATGGCTGTAATCGCTGCTTCTCTTCTCCAGCGGGTAAAACTGTGTGAGGTGAACAATTACAGGACCATCATTGCGGACATCTCCTGCTCTCTCTCTCTCTGTGTGTTTGTCCCGAGGGAGGAGAAACTCGGCTCACACTGAAGGGACACGACAGCAATATCGGTGTCGTAAACTAAAGTCCAGAGTGAGCTGTAATCACTCACCAGTGCTATAGTTTACACTAATTATTTTGTTTTCTTTTTCAAATGTTTCCCAAATGATGTTGAACAGAATCAGGAATTTTTCACAGTATTTCCTATAATATTTTTTCCTCTGGAGAAAGTCTTATAGGTTTTATTTCGGCTAGAATAAAAGCAATTCTTAATGTTTTTAAACCATTTTAAGGTCAATATTATTCGCCGCCTTAAGCTATATTTGTTTTGGATTGTCTACAGAACAAACCACTGTTATGACTTGCCTAATTACCCTAACTTTACCCTAATTAACCTAGTTAAGCCTCAAATGTCACTTAAAGCTCAATAGTGTCTTGAAGAATATCTAGTCTTATGTGCTGTTATCATGACAAAGATAAAGGAAATCAGCAAATATATACTAGTTATTATGCTTAGAAAGGTGTTGACGAAAATCTTCTTTCCACTAAACAGAAGAATTGGGAAAAAATAGACAGTAGGGCTAATAATTCTGACTTCAAAAGTAGCCTATATGAGCTTACCAACCCTGCTGAAAAAAAAACATCTTTGGCTGGTTGGCTGGTTTTGGCTGGTTGACCAGCCTGGTTTTAGAGGGGTTTTGCCCATTTCCAGGCTGGAAAATGACCAGCTAAATCCAGCTAAAACCAGCTTGACCAGCCTGGTTAAAGCTGTACATAGCTACCCTAGTAGCAAAGAATTCTGGCCCAGATTTGGCATAAAGCTGGCACAGCAGGCATTCATCCGGCACTGGCATACAGCATGTGGGCCAAACATGGCCCGGGTTTGGCAGAGGTGGCACCGTCTTTAAGCCGGCACACAAGATTTGGGCCAGATGAAAAACGTAGTATTTGGCCCAGATTTAAAAATGTGATAAGTGGGCCATGTGAGTTTGGCCAGTCTTGACCCACATTTAAAATACACTAAAATCATTTTTGAGTATAGAAAAAAAATCAGGTCACTTTGAGAAAAAGCGTGCCCAGAGTGTGCCTAAAGCGCATCACTCCATGGGTTTATCAATTTCATTGCAATCGTGACACCAACCTATCTGGCCCAGTTCAGGCCCAGCTATGAGTTCAGGCCCAGATATGGTCCGTGTTTGGCCCTTGTCTGGAAGCCAGATTTGGTCCAGTCATGTACCGTAATTCACTGCGGCATGTGGGCCAAGCAAAACCTGATTGTGTGGGCTAGAGCTGGGCCAGAGAAATTTTGCTATGTGGGTAGTAAGCTATTTTTAGCTGATTATCCAGCCTGAAAATGGCCAAAAC